TCCGGCCTCAGAATCGAAATGCGAATCGATCCTGAATCATCCCAGAATCCTCAACTCTGACTTCCCCTATTATCAAGGACCTAGCATATCATATATTCTAGGATGTGGTTCTAGGACAGTGCTAACACTGACTAGGATAAATAGTGTATGGAACGCGAGTGGGAAATTAACTGTGTCTGTGTGTATATGTCGCAGCACATTTACAAGCACGCCACAGCCCGTGGATTCATCCATCAGTGAACTACTAGTGATTCCATATAACAGTATAACTGCATCTGGACTCTGCCACCCGACCCATGCTTTTCTTTATCTCTGCTCAGTTGTTCCGACAATTGAACCAGTCTGTATGCATAATAATCCTCCTACCTTGAACAAGCGCCGACGCATATTCACGGTAAAATTGAACCACTTTCCCGAAAAGGATGGCTTACATAATCACGTGCACTCCCACGAGCCCATTTCACGCTGCAGTTTTGGGGTCCCGACACCCCAAACGGGTTTACCAGGGGCCGGACCATCAGTCCATCACGGCAGAAGCAGGAAAACCAAGCTGTCCAGTCCCTGTTGCCATACGTTTTGAGTTTTGACCGTCGAGTCTTCTTTCGTTGTAGCTGGCTGGTCTGCTGCGTTCGTTATCCTGGGGTTCCTGTTGCGTCATCCCGTTGTTGTGTACGTTGAGCCCTTTTCCGTCAATCCACACCAGGTTCTCCCAGAACTCATCCCAATTTGCTGATGCAGCTTCATGAATATCCTCAGCCTGAGTTCGGGTGGTTTGAAATAAACGAAGATCGCTGAGAGGTACGCGGATGCCGAGGATGGCATACTCACGTTAAGGGCTGTTGAAATCAACTCCTCGGGTGCCTGTTGGATTTTCTTCCCAACCGAACTAAACTTAGTACTAAAGCGACAAGGCCGGATTGAAATTTGAAAGTTAGACGGACGGGATAAAGCTGGCGCCGTAAACGCAGGTCTGCCGTGTATATGCGTACGGAAGGGAGGGCTGAATCGCCGCGTGGGAAGGAATTGGAGAGATACGAATGGCGCGGAGAGTTGACTTCCTTTCCAGGCTCAATATTATGGTCGGGTGCTGCATTAATGAAGTTATGCGTGTTCCAGGTGTAGAATGGAAGGCGCCAGGCTCGAATATTTTGAATATCAGGTTCAGTAAAGTTTCTCCCGCCATAATCTCACGTCGGCAAAATAATGGTGCCCGTGCATCAACGGGATAAATTTATACAGACGGCGCGCGCATGTCATGGATTCGTTCCTGTGGCCCACACTAGTAAGCACGAACGTGGAATCCCAAATCGGCATTGAACAAAAATACTTACACAGGTTTTTCGACATTCTCGAGATTAAACCGATCTCCTAACATCCCCGAATGCCACACGGCATATCAAGATTAAATCCCCATTGCGATCCCATACGTACCCAGCCACAGCCGGTAGTATGCATATGCCGGTTTAGCATTCAGTGTTCGAACAGTGGCAAGTCAAACCCCCAGTGGACGGAATGGCAACGCTGTCCGAGTTCAAGAATCTTATGCCGCTGTGGCATCTGGATGTGCGGACTGTGGACCTGCGCATGGCTACCGACAGGGCCTGATGTTCGAAACTACCACCAACTTGATGGTTGGGAAGATGAGAGTGGCCGAACATGATGCATGATACGCACATTAATACGTCACAGATAACATTTTATTGTTCGTATAAATTTTGTTCGTGGCGCTCGCGTTGGTCCTGCTGAATCCACGAATTCATCTACGTCCTAGAATTCATTTGGTGCGTGTGGGAGGAAAGCATCTCCGACAGGTACAGTGGTTAGTATCAGCCAAGCCGACTTGTGTGTGTCGTCCCAAGCAATATACTACTGGACACAATCCAGACTGGTGGACGGCACATTTGATTACATGGGTCCTTCGGGATTATTGATTCGGCGTTGGGTAAGGGTATTATAATAGCTGTCTGGGCAGTTGCCAAGGAACAAAGGTTTTTCGCTCTTCTTGCAAAGTATCGTGGGATATTCCTAGTCTAAGGATACGCTCTCGTCCATGCGGTTCGTCAGCTTTTCGTTTCCAACCAGAATGTTTCACCTGGCTTCAATTCCGAGTCGGACTTGTGTCCCTGCATACAGAGAAGGCAATCAAGAGGGCTTATCGACGGTGAGCTGTTTTCGCCGACATATTATCATAAACCCCGAGGCTGGAATCTCACCTCCGGTGGAATCGTCAATATCAACTACGGAGCAACCCTGAAAAAAGGGGGCTGCCGACAATGAGGGTGCGCGATAAGTTATAACGTGTTGCTGTTGTGCGCCAGTTGATGGCAAAGTTAGTTCCATCACGATTGCGTGGCAGACAGAAACGCGCCCGGCCGGCGTTTTAGCTAGTGTGCGCCCGCCAGCGCCGATCACGGCGTATCGCCAGAAATTTAGCTCCTTCCTAGCAAGGTGATTGCGGACGATTGAAGGTTATCAACTCCTTTTGAAAAAACGATTAACGCATGCGGTCTGTGACCCAGAGTACGTACGTACGCATGTCGCACCGAGACGGTATCCCGACCTACGAGCGAGCTGTCAATCCTTTAGAAATGATGGCAGCATCACTCTCAAACACCGTCGAATACGTAGATCATCCGAGCAACAACCGCACGGCACAGGGACAAACGCTAGCGCTGCTGATAGTGACATGTGAGCCAAGTCTCACCGTTGACAGAGCCAGGGACAGAAAGTCATTTTCAGACGTGAACCTCCAGTGAGAATTTTAAGCGATTTATGTTGCGGCATTGAGCATTAAACGTGCGGCGAGTGGGCCCTGGGGTACAGAGAGGCGCCGGGGACGGATTGTGTCGACGACAAAGAATGGTATACGTACCGATTGCGATTTACTGTGATTCTTGACGGCTAACCATAGAATTCCAGATGCAGGGGACCTCCGGAGCCGGAGTGTATATTGCGCAGTTGTCCATTGAACCAGGAGCGCTGCAGTCCCCGCATGTGCGGCAGATGGATAGTCGGCCTTTGCAAGTTCCCTCTAATATCTGCAGACAGCAGATGGTAGACGGCACGGAATTGTGATGCACAGCTCACGTACAATGACTCGGGTTGAATGCGTATGGCAGTGCGTTCCCGATCTGTACGACAACTCGGAACACGGCGACTGGATGCTGCCAGTGTGATGACAGAATAATGCAGTCGAGGACGCCGAAACCGAGCCCCTCGCGAATTGTGATCGCATCGTTCAGCGAAAGAGTGTCGAATAGTATAGTCCGCGCGGAGTTCAGGTCGAATCGGAATCCATGTACGCCGCACGGGGGAGAGAAGATTCCGCGCGGTCGAGTGATCAAGGCTGATGGGTGGAATCCAGGTCGCCTCGATTAAGAACACTGTGGGCCAGCGAAACGTCGCGGAAGAGTTCGTTCAGACACTGACCATATGAGAGAGAGAGGGAGGGCTCGGCGACCACTAGTAGCAGTGGGGCCAGATTTGAGCCAGGTACAGACTGAGATCGCTGCAGGTCAAAAATAACGTAGAATCCACTTGGAATCCACTCCAACCCAAAGTGAGCGCATAGCTGAAGCTAACCTGAAGAGTACTAGCCCAGCGCATGCGCCGGGCGGTGTTGGTGAACCTCCGCTTTGTGGTGGCAGCGAGACGACAAGTTGTGTGTGGCAGTGCAGGCGCCGGCAGACGGCGATGTCGGCAATGACCGTGCCGCGTGCCGGCCGGTTCAAACAATTTGTTTTTTACGGTGCTGTGCACAAATTTTAGCTCCAAGATGACACAAGGAGGATCAGCAAAAAATCAAAGCTGTAATATTGAAAGAATATGGAAAACATATTTACAATATCTTTCAGATGTCTGTTGCCCACTGTTGGGTGGAATATGCCAAACATATTTGAAAAATATCCTTTGTTCTTGCTTTGTTCAAGACTTTCTTTGTATAAGGTTCCATTTTGCCCATCTCAGATATCTGAAACTTATTGTAAATATGTCTCCCATATGTTCTGCATATTCTCTCATGCTTTTTCTGCTTATCCTTCCTGTGTGAAGCTCAGAAAATGCACCTCAGAACTACACCAAGTAAGACCTCCTGGTGACATGCATCACACCCTCCTTGAGGCTCTCATAAGCACAACTCAGTGGGAGATCCTGGTTCAATACTGGGTCAGGTTTTCACCGGTGCATATGCCATATGTAGATTCTTGCCCTTAGTACTGAGTTGCAACTGCTTTCAATAATTGTATGTTATGGAGTCAAGTTCAAACCGAGCCTGATGTTGGTGTTGGAAGCACAAGTAAAACCCTACGCTGGCAAAGCACTGACACTCGGAATTCAGCTCCAGAATTTGGTGTATAAAAAGAGGTTCAGAACTACACCCAGTAAGACCTGGTGGTGAATGGGTCACACCTGCCCTGCTTGGCCCCCCAACCCCTTCTCCAAGTGTATGGCAGGAGTTCCTGGTTGAACTCCGGGCCAGGTTATTGCAGGTTCTGATAAATGTCTTTTCTTTTCTTTTTGGAAGGACATCATAATAAAAGTCAATTCACTGTTACTTGTCAAGTTCTACCAGATGGACTTGCCAGAAATTGGACTTTAGCATCGATTGAAGTGTACAACAGAGATATGATAGAGATTCACTCTAGAATTTGGCAGGTAAAATGAGGGACACAACTAGAGAGAGGAAGACCTGGGGTGAATGGATCACACCCACCTTTCTTTATGAAAGCCTGGAGCAAAATTCAGTGGGAGTCCCCGGTTCAACTCCGGGCCAGGTCATATCGCGGCCCGTGCGTTTTTTTTTCCTGGCCGAGCGGTATTTTGGCGTCCTGATAGGAGGCATAGATGGACAGGTAAGTGCGTAAATTAAGGGCATAATTTGCTGTGAGATGTGGAATTTTTGATTGAGAGCCTAGAGTGCAGTACAACAGAGCTGCACATGAGCTTACAAGAATTCTGCATTTGACTGGTTATAAAATGAGGTTCAAAACGAAGTGTTGCACGACCTGGTGGTGAATGGTTTCACCCACTTTCCTCACGTACTCGTCAACGAATGGATGGAGGAGTTCCCGGTTCAACCCCGGGCCAGGTTATTTCGGGGTTCCAGGTCTTTTTTTCGTTTTCTTTCGTTTTATTGTTTTCTTCTTTGGACAACTCACTGTTGTATTGACAAGAAGACCTCAAACAAGACACCATTTAATTCGCCGTGAAATGGGGAATTTGAGTTCAGTAATGCAACCTGTGGTGCAGTCTACGTAAAACAGAGCTGTGCAACATGATGCATCCATCCTACATCCATCTCAAATCCAGCTCTGAAAGCTTGCTCATAAAAAGATGTTCAAAACGAAGTGTTGGAAGACCTGGTGGTAAATGGATCACACCCACTTTCCTTATATGCTTCATTTCAATGGAAATTTAATGAGAGTGCCCGGTTCAACTCCGGCCAAGTCATTGTATCTAGAAAGCTCTTTTTTTTTAAAAAAAAAAAAAATCCTCTGCTTCTTTTTTGGCTTGGTTGCAATTGTTCTTCGAACTTGAGGTAGGCTGGCTCCAACACATAAATCCTTGCTGGAGGGAAAGGAATCAATACTCTGTTTGCGTGAATCAATGTATACGTACTATAGAGGGGATCAAGTGTGTAACATGCTAAATTCAGCTCTGTTAAATATGGGTGCAATCGATGGGTTATAGGACCTGGTGGTGAATGGAATAATACACCCACTTTCTTTAGGTGTCTACGTCGAAGCCAAAATGCAGCTGGGAGTCCTCGGTTCAATTCCGGGCCAGTCTAAGGTCATGACACGACCGATTGCTACTGTTCTTTTTCTTTCTTTCTTTTCTATACTTCTTCTTCTCGAAGTTCGTTTTTGCAGGTACGCTTCAGTGGATCGCCGATCTCACGGTTACTCACAGGAGCAGCAGTTCGAAGGGGTTTTTTTCATAGGGTTGAACGAACGCTCGGGAGTTCGCACACAACATGGTCATTATTCTGAATACATGTTGATATTTGTGTATTTGGGAGGTAAAAAAATGAGGGACGCAGCTAGAGAGCGGCAGATCTGGTGGTGAATGGATCACATTACTCCTCTTGCCACTTCCCAATCACTTACAGAATGAGTGGGAGTCTCCGGTTCAACTCCGGGCCAGGTCATACCGTGGTTGGCACCTTTTCTGTCTTCTTTTTTTTCCCTTGCGGAGCAGTATTTTGGTGTCCTGATAGGAGGCTGCTGGATAGACGGACAGGTAAGTGCGTAAATTAATCATGTCATTTGCGGCGGGATGCGGGAATTTTGTCTGAGCAAATGCAACCTGTACCACTTGAACCCTTTGATGTATTCTGCATGCAGCTCCAAAACCTCCCTCATAAAAAGAGGTTCAGAACAAAGCAAGGAAGACCTGGTGGTGAATTATGGTATCACATCCACTTTTCTTAGGGGTCCCTCGACTGAGTAAGTGGAGGTTCCCGGTTCAATTCCGGGCCAGGCAATTCATCCCTGATTGTGTCCATTTTTCTCCCTTTGTTGAACTGAATTTTGTTGTTTGAAATAGAGGTTGACTGGCAGGTAAATTCTTGCTTGGATTGGAATGAGGGCGGTAGTGGTTTGAATCAATGCAAAGTGGGCAGTGTTCAGAATCATAAATCTGGTTCCGAAACCTCGCTCATAAAAACAGGTCCATAACCACACACAGTAAGGCCTGGTGGTGAAATATAGCATCACACCCACTTTCCTTCAAGTATCCCGTTGAAGCAAAGATGTAGGTGGGAGTCCCCGGTTCAATTCCGGGCCAGGTAATTACCTCTTCCTGAGTTTCTCGCCATTTTTTGCCTCCCTTTTGTTGCACTGAACTTGGGTGCTAGAGCTGGTGTATAACCACAGATTTAATGACTTCAAGCAATTATGTATTGTAACTGCCTGGGTTGCAGCATTTGTATTGTAACTGCTTGGGCTGCAGCATTTTTGTTTGATGGTGCAACACATGCAACAAAATCTATTGAGGTATGTAGGCAGCATCTTACATAATCCAGGCCTGAAAGTTTTTTTTTTTTTTTTTTTTTTTTTTGTGGGACGTATGGAGGAGGGCGAGAGTGCATCGCTTAACACGCTTTGCTACTCCCCGTCGGCGCTTTCTCTAGGGCTCACAGGCAGCCCGAGTCCACGCTTCGTCCGGGCAGATAAATCTGTTCCCACTCCCCCCGTCGATTGAGGCTTGGATTTTGAACCCGGCCAGACAGTATTTTTAACAACCACCCGAGGAAATGCGCTTGCGCACTCGTGCCCGACGTTCGCGACACGGCGTGTGGGGCTCCGGTTTTCTCAACTCCGGGGACCTGTGCAGCGTGAGCTACACCATCCCCATCATCGTTGATAATCAGCCGATACCCACTAATACCCCGGTCTCCCTCGTCCAGTCTTGAGGGAGTTCATTCTCGTTCTTCAGTGTTCTGCACCACGTCTTGAGTACTACCTCCTTCTGGAGGGATCTCTTCCCGTACTTGTACTCGTTCGTTAGTTCACAATCTATTCGTAGGCGGTTGTTTATTCCTCTGAGCCATCGATTGTCTATTTCATTATGTGAGGCCGGCGCTTTCTCTTGAATGACGCGTTCACATCTGAGGCGCCAGATGAGGTGTGCCGATTCGGACACAATGATTCGGAATAGGCGCGATGTGCCTGCATCCGCTTTTTTGATCGCCGCACATGCCATAATTTGGCCCATGACCGGTTTAGGGAGATCTTCTCCCGTTTTCAGCTTCCACATCTCGCTTGCCTTTTTCCATATCCGCACTTGCCCTGGCGCTTCGCATTTCGTCAAAATGTGCTGCATCGTCTCTGGACAGTCACAAACTCTGCACGTCGCCTTTTCCTCGTGCCCAGGGATCTTCTCCCAGTGCTTACCCACTTTATATCCGTCGTGGATAAGCATCCACAGGAAGAAACGAATACTTCGGGATATGTCTTTATGTTTCGTCGACTTCCAGATGGTGCTGGCTGCCGGTGTTTCTCCGTCGTCGGTCTCAGCCGCGGCCTGGGCTAGTTCCATGTTCTTGAGTGTCGCCTTCCTTGCTAGCTTTGCTTGGTATGACTCCCTGTTCATTTTAATCTTCCTAATGATTTTGTATGCTGACGATTGTGTCATTGTCTGCAGCTTGGCCCCTGGGAGAACGTATATTGGGTTGGCTGAGACGTCCATCGCATCTGGCGTGGTGATCGCACTCCCCTCGGCGGCTAGTGCATCTGCTGCCTCATTTCCGTCCTCGCCGTTGTGGGCCTTCACCCACGTGAAGGACGTGGTCGCCTCTCTTTGGCGCAGGTTCGATAGGGTTCTTTGTGTGAGTTCCTTGTTCTCCACGTTATAGAACCCATTGTCCTCAGTTTTTTGTAGGTTCTTCGTGAGTCCATTAATCGAGACTCGCGAGTCGCTCCTAATCTCGAGCGGTATGCAGGCTGGGCAGGTTTCGACCGCTATGTTGCAGGCCTGAAAGTTGGTAGTGAATTGAGGTTCAGAACTACACCCAGCAAGGCCTGGTGGTGAGATATGGCATCACACCCACTTTCCTTCAAGTATCTTAGGCGCCTGTTGAAGCAAAAATGCAGGTGGGAGCTCCCGGTTCAACTCCGGGCCAGGTCGTCATATCAGTGAGCGCTTGCGTGTTTTTTCTTTCTTTCTTTTGAGCAGGAGGGACAGCGAGCTCGTAGATTTAAATTCTCGAGCAACTTTTTGGTGTTCGTACATACATAGAAGCGGCGTGCGGGGTATTTTACGGAGTTTTCTTACTTACTTAATATTTTGTGGAGTTTTCTTATCTTCTTACTTACATAGTATTTTACGGAGTTTTTTCGAACCAAGAAGCGTAAGCGTCGGCACCCCACGCAGCGGGCATCACCTTTTGCTGATTGATCCTACCTTTGCTGATTGATCTCTGATTTCGGCTCCACTCCTTCCTCCGACTTCCTCCGACGCCGACGTTCTCAAGGAATATTCTCTGTTTCTGCCCGACGTTGCATGGCACCGCAAGGCAAGGCGTTGTGCCTGGGCGAGAAGCGGCCTCTCACTCGATGCTGACGGAAGACAATACAATTCAGATAACCTAACCGTTGCCGCAAGCGTGGAAGACTGAACGGGTTCACGTACGCGTCGGCGACCATTCATTCATTCATTCGGGTTCACATAACGGTTGTGAACTTGTGCGCCACATCCGGGTTCACGTACGCGTCGCGAGGAGAGGCTAGAATTGCGTGAATTCGCATATCGCATAATACGGTGCGCTACTTACCAAGCGCCACTCGCACTCGCGGTGGGTAGGGGTGGATGCGACGGTGGAGTGGATGCTCATTACTGGTGCGCACATGCCCCCGCCACAAAGGAGGAGAAGGCTAGGCGCGCACAACGACACCACAAGGAGGCAGAGATACGAGCCCACACATGCGTCTTCGCCACAGAGGAGGCAGAGATACGAGGAGAACTTCGCGACGCGCGCACGATGCATATGTGTCACAAGCAACCCTAAACTCAAAGAAATTCAAAGCCACGGTGACGCTGCTCGGTACCTCGGACGTCGGACTCCCACCTTGCTGTACCTCACGCAGTACTCGACTTCTTACTTCTTTCTTTCCACCGGGAAACGGGATGGTCAGGGACGCATGCGCAGCTATGCGAGGGCATCGGGGCCCGGGCTGCGTCTGATTATCCATTATCCGTTATCTGGCAGCACTGGCATTCTCGTCGGCCTGCCAAGTATCCTATCCGGGATACATAGGACTCCGGACTCCGGACGGGATGCTTGGAAGTTGGGTGCAGGGAAGGGATCAGGCTGAGGCGGGATGTCGTTCGTTTTCGTTGTGAATGCAGAGCCGTGTGGTGGTGAATGCAGAGCCGTGTGGTGGTGGTGAACTCATGAGCAGCCATGCGCTCTGGACGCCGGATGGGATGCGCTCTCGACGCCGGATGGGATGCTTGCTTGAATGAACGGAATCAATCTTCGTTGGTCTTCGGCGTGTCTTCGTTGGTCGTCGGCGTGTCTTCGTTGGTCTTCGGCGTGCTTGAATGGACGGACGGACGGAATCAGATTTTCGTTCGCTCGCTCGTTCGG